ATGATTGCCCTTTGCAGACTCACGCTGCATGGAATGTTATTTAACATTGATCCTTCGTGCAGTGGTTTCGAAATCTAATGTGAAACTGGTTTTGCTTCCATTTCTATTCGCTGTCATTGGTGTCCTTTATGTTCTTAAGCCAATAACCCAGACCACTCTGCAAATGTCTCCTATACCTGCTATCTTGAGTTTTCCACCTGGTGAAACGCAATAAACTTGAAACTCACTCATCACTCAAGCACTCATTCATTCATTCACTCAATCACCCACTCATTCACACACTCACCTATTCACAATTAAACAACTAATCTACTCACCCACTCATTAGATCGCACTCATCACTCACACAAACTCACTGACTCACTAATTAACCCATCACTATTCTACTCACTCATCCACTCACTCACCCACTCATTCACTCATCTCACCCACGCGCTCATGCACACATTCATTCACTCACGCACTGCCCACTCTCACCCATTCACTCAGTCAATCAATCACTCACCCACCCACTCATTCATCACCCACTCATTCACTCACCCGCCCACACACCCACTCACCACTCATTCACTCACCCACTCATTAACTTACCCACTCATTCACTCACCCATCCACCCACTCATTCACTCACTCACCCCCACTAATTCACTCACCCACTCATTCACTCACCCATCCACCCACTCACCCACCCACACACCTACTTACCCACCCACTCATTCACCACTTACTCACCCACTCATCACTCACTCACCACACACACACCCACTCATTCACTCACCCACTCATTCATTGCCCTCATTCACTTACCCATTCATTCACTCACCCACCACCCACCCAACCACTCATTCACTCACTCACCCCACTCATTCACTCACCCACTCATTCACTCACCATCCACCCACACCCACTCACCCACCGACACACCCACTTATCACCCACTCACCCACTTACTCACCCACTCATTCACTCACCCACCACACCCACTAACCCACTCATTCACTCACCCACTCATTAATTTGCCCACTCATTCACTTACCCATCATTCACTCACCCACCCACCACCATTCACTCACTCACCACACTCATTCACTCACCCACTCATTCACTCACCCATCCACCCACACACCCACTCACCCACCCACACACCCACTTACTCACCATTCATCACCCACTTACCCACTCATTCACTCACTCACTCACCCACACACCCACTTACTCACCCACTTACTCACCTACTCATTCACTCACCCACTCACCAACTTACACCCACATTCACTCACTCACCCACCCCCACACCCACTCACCCACTTACTCATTCACTCACCCACTTACTCACCCACTCATTCACTCACCACTCACCAACTTACTCACCCACTCATTCACTCACTCACCCACCCACAACCCACTTACCCACTTACTCATTCACTCACCCACTTACTCACCCACTCATTCACTCACCCACTCACCCACTTACTCCCCACTCATTCACTCACTCACCACCCACCCACCACACCCACTCACCCACTTACTCACCCACCACCCACTCACCCACCCACCCACTCACCCACCCACACCCACTCACCACTCACACCCACACTCACCCACCACCCACTCACACATCCCACCCACCCACTCACCCACCACCCACTCACCCACCACCCACTCACCCACCCACCACGTCAGGCTAGAAGCCCACCACGCAACGCTGTGGGCGGGGCTTCGAGCTCCACGTCACGACCTCCACCCCTCCCTATATAAGCTCCCGCCCGCGGCGGCCCATCAGAGCTCCCTCTTCTCACCACCCTCCTCTCGATTTCCCGCCAACACCCACTCGCCTCTCCACTGCTACCGTGCGCCGTTGCCGCCTGTGCTTTTCCAAGTTATATTCTCCCTTTCTCGGCTATCGTTTCCTCATCTACCCAAACCTCACCACCAACTCCCCTCACTCGCGTGTTGCCAACATGCGGACCCGAGTTTCCAGCGTCATCGCCTGGGCTCTGCTCGCCGTCGTTCTGACAGCCTCAGGTGATTTTCCACCACCGTCACCCGTGCCGTGCCGTGCTAAGCGAGAACGCCTGACGAGGCTGGTGGTGGTGGTTCTTGTTGTTTGGTTGTTGTTGTTGTCGTCTGCCGCGGCGTGGGTCGCGATAATTTAAAAAGTTTTGAAATCGCCGCCCTCCTCGTCGCCGCGTTTGCGCTTTCGCGCGTGGCGTCGTGAGTGCACCTAGCCTGGCACGGGCGACGCAAATGAACGTGCGGATGCGGACTAAGGCAGGCGTCGGCAGGTGAACGGCGGGTTCACGCCGGGGCATCGGGAGATCGAATTGCAGGTGTGAGCGAGTGTGGGTGGTGAGTGTGTGATGTGAGCGAGTGTGGGTGGGTGAGTGGAGTGAGGGTGAGGGGGGGAGGGTGAGTGGTGGGTGAGTGGTGAGGGGTGAGTGGTGAGGGGTGAGTGGTGAGGGGTGAGTGGTGAGGGGTGAGTGGTGAGGGGTGGTGGTGAGGGGTGAGTGGTGAGGGGTGAGTGGTGAGGGGTGAGTGAATGGGTGAGTGAATGGGTGAGTGAATGGGTGAGTGAATGGGTGAGTGAATGGGTGAGTGAATGGGTGAGTGAATGGGTGAGTGAATGGGTGAGTGAATGGGTGAGTGAGGAGTAGTGGGGGTGGGTGAGGGGTGGGTGAGTGGGGGTAGCGAGTGTGGGTGAATGGGTGAGTGAGGGGTGAGAGTGAGTGGTGAATGAGAGTGAGTGGTGAGTGAGGGTGAGTGGTGAATGAGGGTGAGTGGCGAGTGAGTGGGGTGAGTGAGCGCGCGGGTGTGAGGGTGAGTGGTGAGGAGTGAGTAGTGGGTGGGGGGGTGGGTGAGTGGTGGGTTAGCGAGTGTGGGTGAGTGAGTGTGGGTGAGTGGTTGGTGAGGGGTGACTGAATGGGTGAGTGAGGGTGAGTGGAGTGAGGAGTGGTGAGTAGGGGTGAGGGGTGGGTGAGTGGTGGTTTGGTGAGTGTAGGTGAGTGAGTGTGTGTAGGTGAGGGGTGGGTGGGTGGGTGAGTGTATGTAGGTGAGTGGTGGGCTGGGTGGGTGAGTGTGAGTGAGTGTGTGTAGGTGAGTGGTGGGTGGGTGGGTGAGTGTGTGTAGGTGAGTGGTGGGTGGGTGAATGTGTAGGTGAGGGGTGGGTGGTGGGTGAGTGTGAGTGAGTGTGGTAGGTGAGTGGTGGGTGGGTGGGTGAGTGTATGTAGGTGAGTGGTGGGTGGGTGAATGTGTAGGTGAGTGGTGGGTGGGTGGGTGAGTGTGTGTAGGTGAGTGAGTGTGTAGGTGGGTGGGTGAGTGGTGGTGAATGAGGGTGAGTGGTGGTGAGTGTGGGTGGTGAGTGGTGAGGGTGAGCGCGCGGGTTTAGAACAACAACAACAACGCGCGCATGGTCAGTGACTCAGGTGCGTGTCAAAGGAGGAGGTGGAGGAGGAAGACGGTCCCACACCGCCCTTCCTTGACATTGTCTCTCTCTCAAGTATAACAAGTTGGCGTTACTAACACGCGGAGCAGCACTATGCACACCTTGGCTGTGTCGCCTGACGAAGCACGTTGTGGTTCCTGGCAGCGAAACGTCGAAACTCGGACCGGTGGTGCTGTACTCGTAACGAATTATCACGTTCTGTCTACGTGACACAAACCTTCAAGTTGCATTCATTAGGTATAGATAACCCTGGTGAGTCTGATGCAACCGCAACAAGCAAAATATGAACAGAGAACATGTTAAAGCGACTACGCGCTTCAGATACATCCTGGATAAACCTGGCAAATCTTCCAGAAAATAAAAAAACGTATTACAACGCTGTGTGCGAAAATCCCAGTGTAATGCAAGTCAAACAATAGCAACAATGAGACAATTTAGATTAAAGTTATCGGGCCAACTCCGCGTTTCCGCAAGAAACATGGCTTAAACCATATGTTTTAGAAATCAACAAAATAAAGTTATTAAATACAATGTAACAACAGTTATCGTAGGATTCTAGATGTGAAGCTTTCGTGACTGCAAGGATTCATACTCTTAGTTCTTTCGGTAAAGTCACGTAGGTAAAAAAAAATTAAAATTAATAAAAATTAAATACAAATCACGACGTTTCGGAGGCAACACAAGTCTCCGTCATCAGGGGGGACCGTCACAGCCAGATTTGCTGCATCAAGTGAGGCAGGGATTCAAGATGCAAGCTCTTAAATACAATTCTTTGGGTTTTTTGGTAAAGTCACGTATAAAGATAAAATAATAAATTAAATAAAATGCATGCTATTATTTAATTTATTATTATTTTATTTTTATACGTGACTTTACCGAAAAAACCAAAGAACAATTCCTGCAGTCACGAAAGCTCCAAAATTAAGATTGAACCTCATAAATACAAGTTAAGGGGGGAGGAGAGGGGGGGGGGGAGCTTATCAGAATGTGGTAGCCAATGAATCGTAGGAACTTTGATTCAAATGTAACAATAAACTATATACATAACATGTACGACCAAACTTGCAGCCATATCTGGCAGCTCATTGGCTTGTGGTGGCGGGTTCATCGACACATTTATATTTTAACGCGATCGAATCCCCCCAAAAAAAATCTGTATTATGGTTGATAAGTGTTAACTATCGGCTTGTCGCCTGACGAAGCTGGTTGTTGGTATGGTTGTTTGGTTGTTCGGTTGTTGTTATTTAAGGGAGTAGCGTCACGGTTGCTACTCGAGCTGTACACGTGGTGGGCTAAAGTAACAAAAATTGGCGCGTGTACTACATTTCTCGTGTTGGTGGCGGATTTAAAGACCACGATTATATATTTACTCGATCTAACACAACACCACCCTCGCCAAAAACAACAACGACCACCTCACGTATAATGGAAATAATAAAATAATAAAAATAAAACATAATAAAATATAGTTCTTTAGGTAAAGTCACGTAGAATGGAAATAATAAAATAATAAAAATAAAACATTTATTTGTATTATTTTTTATTATTTCCATTCTACGTGGCTTTACCGAAAGAACCAAGAAGATGAATCCCTGCAGTCACGAAAGCTTTAAATCGAAAACAACCACCTCTGTTGAGGACTACAAGTTGTGTGTTCGATGCGCCAATGCCATATCACAGCCGTGTCAATCAATATGGTTTACCCTGTATTCTTGTACAGGGAAATTGAGTTTTCAGGTCCATATGGTGTAGAGCCGTTTCATTACGGGCAACAAAAAAATAATCATATCAGTCTATTTGTTTGTGTGTATCTCCTTGTGAATGGGACTTTGTAGAATGAACGTTGAGATTTATGAAGGGGCACGGGGTGACCAATAAGGTTTGAATTGGTTGCTAATAATAAGGGCACTGATAAGGGGTTGACAGGTATGAACTACACTACTAAACGCTACACTATACACTACACTACTACATCATACGTGTCAACCGATACGGTTTAACCCTGTATTCTTGTACAGGGAAATTGAGTTTTCAGGTCCATATGGCGTACGGCCGTTTCATTACGGGCAACAAAAGTGGGTTTGTTTGTGTTTCTCTCTTTTGATGGAATTTTGTAGGATGAACGTTGAGATTTAAAAGGGGCAAGGGATGACCAATATGATAGGAATTGGCCTGTAATAAAGTAGGCACTAATAAGGGGTTGACTGGTATGTCATCGCTGTACTGTAACTCAAATAAACACAACCCGCTGCTTATTAAACTCGTTAGAATTTCGCGCATATGCCTACAAAACATTTTTTTTGGTGGTTGTGGGGCCGACAATTGTTGGAAATCTGTTGGATCAACTTTTTACCCCCCCACCCACCCACATCTGGGTCCACTTTCTATAACTTTTTGATTCAAGCCTTCTGTAAAGGCTCTCAAATCATTTAGTTGATGGACAAACGGAACGTTGGACTTTTAGAAGAGATTATGCCGGAGCGTTTTGGTTAATTCCAGTAGCACTACGCGGCCAATTTGAGAACAACAATGAACACACACACAAATTTAAGTCTTAAGAGTTCAGATTGTAATGGCTGGAGGCACCTTTTAAGGATTCTTAAGGAGTCGATGTTAATGTAAGGAGTGCTTCTCGGCCATACTAAGGCACGGTGAGGAATTTCACGGTTCATTGTCAATTGTTGAGAGACTCCAGGAGGCAATGCGAGGCAAAATTAATGGATTCTTAGGATTCGTGTTTATAATTCTTGAGGCTCATAGAGACGGACTAAGCCAACTTTAAGAATCTTAGATATGTATCCCACGTAACCAGAGCAAGGCATATTTAAGAGGTCCTGACGGTGTATTGTTTGTACTGTATAATGCTCATAGAGCCACACTTTGCATTCTTGGGGTACTGTACGTATTGTGTTAATGTCAAGGGCTCGCAGTGGCAAGGATATGTTTACAACTGCGTCTGGTATGCAGAAGATCGTGGGTTCGACCCCAAGCCTGACGCCTGCTGCTGTATATTTGAAGTTTGTGTGTTTCTCTCCCCGTGGTCGTGGGGGATTTTTCACCGGGTCCCCACCGGGTTTTTTCCCCCTCCAGATTTAGCATCAACATCATGCCTTTCGAGTATTTGGCAGCCGTCCTCAGGTGAAGACCAGGTCTGTCGGGGAGACAGCGTCTGAGGACGGCTGCTTGCGTTGTGGCCGAAACGTTGTGAGAATTATTTTATTGTGTTTTATTTTTATTATTTTATTACTTCCCTTCTACGTGACTTTACCGAAAGAACCAAGACGATATTTAAACGATTTTATTTTCCTAGGTAAGGCCCACTAAGCTATATAGTTATTTTTCAGAAGCGACCTCGCTATCACAAATTATAGCTCGGCGAAGTATACTTATACGATTATAACTTGTACTTATAATCGCGTGGAAATGTATGGCAGCCAAATACTCTAAACACACGTCGGTTCTGAACGTGGAGGGAAAAACCAGAGGACCCGGAGAAAAATCCACGCGAGCACGGAGAGAGACACGCAAACTCCAAATATACAGGCGGCAGGGTCGGGATCGAACCCACGGCCTCCTGTATACC